CAGTCTGGGACTCCAGCCCATGGCACAGCGCTGTCCAAACTCAGGATGGGTCTTAATTAGATCTCCATGGAAACACACTCACAGATGCCAGCAGGGCTGTATCTCCTAGGTGACTTTAAATCCCATCAGACTGATAATCAAGATTAACCATTATGTCCCCTCGTGCTTAAGAACCCAATGGGGAGCTCTAAGTTCCTCAGGGGCATGGAGCAAGTTAATCACAGAACCAAGGCTGCTCTCTGGGCTCCTGACTCCAGCTTATTGTTTCCACAGTGCCATGGTGAACCAATGTTTCCTGTTAAAGAGCCAGGTAGCATGCCATACAGTCTTTGCCCTGCAACAACTTACCTCCATCGTCACGGCACAGAGCTGACACGGGCAGTATGGAATTGGAGGCTGGGGTTCTGTTTCTGGATGACCTTACTATCCGGAACCCACACCAGCAGCCTTTGATAATCCACTCTCGCACAATTAATAACGGTGAAAAAGTTGGGTTCCCTTAGAGTACATGGGAGACCTTTGCTCTGATGTGCCAAAGGGCCGAGGCAGAGCCTGGACACTTAGCCATTACCTAGCCAGAGTCCAGAACTGAACGCTAAGCTGGAACACTGGGGTCTCCACTTCTCCGAGACACTTAGACAAGACTGGCAGAACATCTGGGTGTTCTGGATGCCCTTGGGCTGCTCTTGATGCCTTTGAAGCTTAGGCTTCTGAGTGCCTCCAGAGGGCGAACAAGCTGCCATTGTCATTGGGGGGGGGGGGATCAGAAGGAGGGAGGTGGATTGCTAAAGTAGATTGTCTTTAACCACCTCATTAAGCAGAATTACTGTCACAGGCTTTATATCCCAGTGACTGTGTAAAGCAGGTATGGTTCGCTGGAGGCTGAGAATGAAAGACTAGGAGATTTACCAGAGCCACACAGCTTTGGAGTAGCAAGATTGCATTTAGCCCCCTCAAGCCAACCCCACTGGTCTTCTCCATTGTGGCCAAGATGCTTATTGTATATGCGCTTCCTCATTGTAACTAAACCATTATGTCTTTGAAGGTCATATCCTTCCTTCCTCTAACCCCACTCCAAGAGGACCCCCCAGACATCTGTAGGGATTGCTCCCAAACATCAAACACAACCAAGTTTTCATTACTTACTGTGGCCCTGCCTATGTTTCCTATAAACCCAGGTTATAGGCTCAAAGGCTTTGCTATGAGGACAAGGCTCCTGTGAGAAACATGCCAGGAGGTCCTGCTGTTAGTGGGGTGTCAATATTTCCCAAAGCCCATGCCCAAGGCCTCCTGACCCGTCAATACGAGAAACAGCAGAGGCGGGATTGCAGTCATCTTGAAGGTACCACCCAGACACAGAGGGCGCCGGTCACTGGTTTACAGCAGGAAGCACATTCCAGGCCCCAGTCTGTGGGGTTTGGTTTTGTTGGTTTTTGGTTGTTGTTTTTTTTTTTTATTATTATTATTATTTAAACTTTAATGGGCATCTGGGTGGTCAGACAAGTCTTGGCAAGTTGCACTGACACAGTTGTGAAGACAAAGGCCTGGTTAAAATTGACAACATTTGCTGGGGAAAAGGAGCCTGAAGAAGTCCCCAACTGGTCTGGAAGCCTGAGACTCTCATCCCACCTTGTACTTTTATGCAGTTGCCCCTGCATAGCTCTCAGCTACAGCCTAAGGAATGCTCCCACCCTGAGCCAAATGTGCAAAAACCTAAAGGTGTAGTCTCTAGTTTTGTTTTGTTCTGTTCTTCTTTTAAGGAAACCATATTTCCAGGGAACTTTCAGCATCTTGGAGAAAGTATCTCCTTTCTTAGGGAACCAAAGGACAACGAAGGGGAAATATTTATTACCCTGAAATAATAATAAGCCTCGGGTGCTTGGAGAAATCATAAAGAGCTTAGAGACATGCTGGGCTTGGCCTAGAATCCTTTGGCTTCCATTCTGTTCTGCTGCTTCCATGTCTGTGAACATATCTTTCCTTCCCTCTGGGTCGTAGACTGCTCGTCTGTGAGATGGGAGAGGCTGGGCCCAATGGTCTGTTGAAGACTCATTCTGGTCGGACAGTCTGGGGCAGCTCAGAGCAAAAGCTCTGTCTTTGGTTGTGAGAACATTCAACTTCTGCCCTGTGTCGATCAGGAAGTAGCACTTGGGAGAAGGCACACACAGCCACAAGAGGCTTCTGCAAGAGAGGAGCTGGTTTTGTCCCCACCCCCCATTTATTTAATTTTTCTTAGTTAAAAAATTAGATAAGCATGCATGGCTAGCTGATTGGACAAAACAGGTCAGGGTTCTAGAACCAAAGCTTTGCTACATTCTATACAAGTGTCTCAAGCCAAGCACAACGTGAAAAGGTTTTACGGAGAAAAGATTCCTGGCTTGCGCGCAGTTATGGAGAAAACCAACCCAACAGATGCCCCTTTCCCTCGGCGTCGCAGCACACTGAAACTTTATCCTCTTACCAACCACGACCCACAGCTAACCCGGCATTGCATTTGTGTCTCTGCTGTGAGGCTAAATGGCCTTGTCTGCCAGGCAGGCAGGCAGGCAGGCAGGCAGGCAGGATCATGTCTGGAGAGCCCCCGGGCCTCTATGGGAGCCAATCTACATTTCATGATTTCTTGGCAAGCCCAGAGGACAGATACTTAATAAAAACCTCACTCAGCTCATTAAAGAAGACCTGTGTGTTCCGGGAGTGAGACCGCGGCTCTTTCCTCCTTTACCTGCATGGCCAGTCCTTTGCCAAGGCCAATCCCTCACAGAGGCTCTCACGATGAGCCTTGCTCATTTTCCAGGGTTGCCGTGATCGCCTTGCGGAAGACCCTGTCAGTTCCTCCCCAGATGGTTGGCGTACGCCCCTGCCTCTCAGCCATCCTGTCTCTGCTCTTTGGTGATGTTCTCTGCGATACCACTCTGGTCATGGCATCCTTGAGCCCAAATTCTGCAGCAGGCCTCCCAGTAACAGTGGGAGAGAATCCAGGTTCTCTGGGGGCACCTAAGACTCCCTCTCAGCACAGTATCTTCCTCCATTCGAGCTATTTCTGCTAATGCTCACCCAGGAACCTAATGCTCCATCTATCAGGCCTCCATCTATCACTGCCTCTCGGAAGCCCTCACACTCATATCTGTGCTCTGTAGAGCCTCTTCAACCTCCCCAGCCCATCTCAAATGGCATTGGCTACAAGAAACCTCTTGGTACCCACAACCTACTTGCTTCCACCTCCAGCCTACTTCCTCCCGATCTTTGCCAGTGTTTATTCCTGCTGGGTGAGAATTTGCCTGGTACTTAAAATGATGACACACAGCTAGGCTTGGGTTCAAAATTTTTTCTTGCATGTAATCCTGGGCACTAAACCTACTCCCTCTCTGTGCCCTGATTTCCCGTGTCTAAAATGAACACACCAATACCTTATGAGATTGTCATGGAAACTGCTCATGTTCATTTTCATAAGATGCTCAGCAAATTGGAACAGACGACTGCAGAGTAAGTACTCTGTAAGACATAGGGTCGAGCCTGATGATGCCAGTGCAGGCCTGTAATGTCAGCTACTCGGCACGTTGAAATAGGAGGTGGCAAGTTCAAGGCCAGCCTGAGCAACTTAGTGAAACTTTGCTAAAACGTTTTTTAAAAGGGGGGGGGCTGGAGACTCAGATAACTCAGCAATGAAGCATTTGCCTAAGATGCATGAGACCCTATTTGCCATGGTCAGCAGAGTGGACAAGCAATCACCACTACTGTTACTGTGATTGCTTGGGCCTTGCTGAAGGGGTGGAGCCTCACTTGCTCTGCCCTTACCACCCCCTCTAATTATAAGGGTCTGGATGTTGAGGAACACTTGCATTTTCTTCTTCTGGCATTCTTCACACCCAACTATAGTTTGCCAACAGTGAAGCCTCTGAATACGAATTAATCAAACATCTCTTAGCAATCATGCTACTTTGGGCCAATTCTTTAACGCCTCTGGCCCTTGGTTTCCCCATTAAAAAATGGAGGAAATAACGGTTGCTTGTTTATAGACTTTTCTCTCTCTCTCTCTCTCTTTCTCTCTCTCTCTCTCTCTCTCTCTCTCTCTCTCTCTTTTTTGCAAGACTGGGTGGGGCAAAACTCGAAGTGTCTGGAGACCATTGTTTGGGTTATCCAGAGCCTGAACCCACCAGCATTTCCTAAAGACTGGATGGGGTGAGGAGGTTCATTTATTAGGGTATTATCCTCAATTGCAAGTCGTTTGACCCTGGTTTCTGGCATGGCAGTCTACCTACCTTTTCTCTTTATTCTTTCACTACTTGGCTCTGGAGGGGTTTCCTAGTTTAAACAGACTTACGGTGCTTAAGCCTCTTTTTCAGTTAACCACTCCTTGATTCTGCTGAAACAAGAAGGGCCGTAGGAGAGCAGGAGAGGTGTCACAGTGTTTAAGCTGCTGCTCTTCCAGGGACCTGAGTTGGATTTCCAACACCTTCATGGTAGTTCAAAACCATCTGTAATTCTAGTTCTATGGGGGAATCCGACACCCTCTTCTGGCATACATGTGCTGCGCACACATATGAAGCAGGCGAAATGGTCATTCACGTAAGATTAAAATAACTGATATTTTAAAAATAAGAGGCATAAGAACACAAAATTTGGACACTGCCTTCTTGAACCCAGAGTTGGCTCATGAATGCACCATCATGAGAGACAAAGAAATACAAACTTGCAGGGCCATTAAGTTAGGCTTTATTTGCAGTTTAACCGAAAGCATGTGCACTCTGAGAAAGCATAGACAACCAGAAACATCACCAGAGAACCTTCTGCCCGTGGCAGTAAAGGAGGCAGCTTTGAAGCAATGTAGCATCAGAACATGTTGCGAGTGTCCACTTCCTGGTTCTGTTCGGGGGGGCCATCTAAGCTGGCCCCGCTCTTTGCATGGTCTCAGGACTGTGGTCAGGCTTGGTGTGAAGAGGCACCAGGTCACGGGACTCAGGTTCCTCCAGGATCCACACACTGAGGGATGCTCAGAGGCTTCAGTAGCGGCTCTGAAGGCAGGGCGAACAAGGCACGCAAACAGTGTGTGGCACACAGACGGAGCGCGGCACCCCAAGGGAGGGGGCACAAGGCTGGCAGGAGGGAGTGGTGCAAGGGTTACAGGGCAGCCTGGGAGAAAAAGTCACAGTGGGCAGGAATTAGCAGAGGAGTCCACCGCCTAACATACCGTGATGATTCTACCCTCCTGCACCTCTCTGATGGCTACGCCGCACACCTCTTTCACTTGGCTTCCCTTATTTCAATCTCCTTCATTCTTGCCTGTGTCACCTCCGTGGCCTTCCAACTGACCCCTACCCACAATTCCTCTCTTGCCTCTCCTTCTAAACCCCGGCAGATTGCTCTCCAGTAGACAGCAACCTAACTGTGTCCCTCCCCTACCTAAGACCTTCAGTGGCTCCCACTTGTGCTTGAGGCAAGCGTGAGCCACTTTTACAGATATGTGTGTCCTACTGTACCTCCCCGCACACCCCTGCTGCTGTCTGGGCTCCAGCCTCCTGACAGTTCCTCCATGAGCTAGCCAGCTCAGGCTGTGGGATGCGCGTCTTCTCTTTCTAGAACTCTCTTCCATAACCACTCTCTCAATCAACTCCTTCTCTTCGTTAAAGGCTCAACTCAGCTGTCCCAACACCTCCGAACCCCCGACACCTCAGTGTTAGATGTCTCAGTGGCATCACTTGGCTCCTCCTGTAGTGACAGCTAATTACTTCACTGGGGACTGTCTGCCCTACCAGACAGTTAAGTTCCAGAACTATTCAGGTATGCTCTCTCTATACCTGGCATAAAGCAGGTACTTCCTAAGAATGTGTTGAAGAAGAAGAAATAATAAACGGATGTGGAATGAATACATGGCAAAAGGAAACAGTGTGGTCTCAGACACTGACAGGCCGGGGCACAAAACAAGAACCGACACACTGGACCCCAGGCAGAGACCAAACAGCTCAGAGACCCAACATGTAGCCTGAAGGTCACCTTCAGTCTTAAGTTATTTAATGTGGCCAGCACCTTTTTTTCTTTTCAATGTGTTAAATATATTTTAAAGTTGAAAACTTTTAAAGCTTGGGGGAAAAAAAATACAAATCCCAGCTCTCCTTGAGCAGCTGGAAGACCAGCAGCACACAGGATCTGCTTCTTATTTGGTGGCACTGGCCGTCAGAGGACAGTACGAGGACAGCACAGGATCCCTGGCTTCCACCGTCCCATATCATGTGTGTATGGGAACAGCCCAGTCCTTGCAAACACGTTAGTTTACAACACTTGCTTTGGTGGGATAAGATTCTGAGTGACCGAAAAACAAGACAAAACGTTGGACAATAAATTGCTGCAAGGGTTGGAGAGATGTCTCAGTGAGTAAAGGCTTTATCATACAAGTGTAGAGACCCGAGTCGGAGCCCCAGAGTCTGTGTGAGATCAGGCACAACACGTGTCGGTGGTCCTGCTATTCCTACAAGTGAGAGAGTAGGCAGAGGCAAGACCATCCCCAAAAGCTTGTGGGCCAGCTAGACTGGTGTGTGCCATGGTGCAAAAGAGACCTTGTCTCAGGCAAACTGGAAATCTGAAGTTGTCCTCTGACCTA